CTTAGAACAAAATTATTTAGGTGTTCCATGACCTATCATATGATAAATTATTGAATTATGTCGTTTTAGAACATGCTTGTCGGATAGACCAAACCTATAGACCCAAACGACGAACCTTCAATTAATGACGGCCAATCAGTCCAGTTTGTCATTTGGTCTCGCGATAATTAACTCAGGGGTCTATTGGTCTTTTCCTACTTCATTTAAACCCTAAGATACGTCTTTTTGACCCTAAATAAACGTTCGCTTTATTCTATCCTACTTCAGTTACCTCAGACACTATCTATAAACGTTCAGATCATCATTCTTGCTTTCGTGCTTTTTTAAATTATATTTTATTTCAGCTTTATTCTATCCTACATGCTCAGCACATTCCAAGTACTACCGCATACGTCCGCTACATCTTCTCATAAAGTAGGTTCAAGTTCTCAGCATACTGACAAAGCTTAGATCGTTTCTCGGTCTCTAGAGCAGATTCAATGGTGAGTCCTCATTCTACAAGGACAATAGTCATGAGTTTCTTTTCAGTATTTATCCTTTAGTTTTAGTTCTTTCTAGACTTAGAAAGGGCTTGTCCAAGTATTTCTAGTCATCCTAAAGGTTATTTTTAGTTATAGTTAGTTTTCAACTTAGTATTTAGTTAATATTTTCTTTGGATTAAACTCATTAGTCTTCATATATCTTAGTTTTGGCGTACGGGTATTTCCCATATTTTTTATTTTAAACATGATTTAGCTTCCTCATGAGTTTATTATCTTTAGTATGCTAATGATTCTCCTACCAGGGTTAGCTTGGGATCACTTTTACTCCTAGGTCCCGTGTCTGCCTCTCAAAGATAGCTTGGGGTGTAACAAACTTTGTATCAGACTAATAGGTTTAAAAATCCTGGATGTCTTAAAAGCTATACTAAGTAGATATTTTCTCATGTATGTTACTTTTATCATGCGTAAGGTATGATCTAGTTCCATTTTAACTCGTCGTTCTATGTTTCATATTATGCCTTCTCATAGAGATAACTCTAGGAATGTAGCTGCGAGGAATGAAAATGCAGCTCCGCTAGTCCCTGATTAGGAAGCCTCCAATCGGAGTTCAAGAATGCCATAATGATGTTGGCTCAGAGTATGACAAACCAAAACAATCGTGTTCATGATGCTATGAATAAAAATGAGGAAGGAGCAGTAGTAAGGGTCCGTGACTTTTTTGGATGAATCCTCCTGAGTTATTAGGATAACAAACTAATGAGGATCCTCAAAATTTCTTTGATGAGATCAAGAAGAACCTTGAGGTAATTCAAGTCACTGGAAATGATCGGGTTGAGTTGGCAACATACTAGTTGAAGGATGTTGCTCATATTTGGTACACTAAAGGGAAGGAAAATATGGGTACGGAAGCAAGTCCTATTAGTTGGGATTTTTTTAATGAGACCTTTTTAGACAAGTCTTTCCTAACAGAGTTGAGAGAATCAATGACTCAGGTTTTCATGATCTTACGGCAGGGAAACATGATAGTGAAATAGTATGGGATGAAGTTTAACCAAGTATGCAAGTATACTGTTCACATGGTTACTGACTCTATGGTTCATATGAATAAGTTTTTGTATGGAGTTTCAGATTTTGTGAAAACTGAATGCATAAATGATATGTTACTGGGAGATATGAACATCTCTAGTCTTATGACTCATGCTTAGAAGGTTCAAGGTGATATGCTTAGCGAACATGCCAAGGAGAATAAGAATGATAGGACTTTTGGAGCTATGACTATTCTCAGCAATAATTGGATGGTGGAAATTTCTCTAAGAGTTAGATTAATTTTTCAGCCCCAACCCCTTCGTTAGCTAGTGTTTCATACTTCAAGAACAACGATGGCCAGAAGTCTAGGGCACCAGTTTCTAAGTCCTAGGGAAGTGTTTCAGGCACCAAGACTTACCCAACTTGTTCTGTATGGTAAGAACTATGTGGGCGAGAGTTTCGCAAGAAAAGAAGAAAGTTTTGAGTGAGGTTAGTCTAATCACAGGTTGAGGGATTTTCGTTCTAGACAGGGCCAAGGAGGTGATAATGGTAGAGCTTAGTCTACAACTTTATCAGCACCAGCAAGTCGCCCGACTTAGTAGGGTAACTCATCTAGTACTTGTGTTGGTCAGCGCAAGAACAGGTCGTATGCTCTTCAGGCTCGCAAGGATGAGGAAGGTTCTCTTGATGTAGTTACTAGTAAGTTACGAGTCTTTGAACTTGATGTTTATGCGTTCTTACATCCAAATTCTACTCTTTCATAGGTAACTCCTTACATAGCATTCAAATTCAATTTTTGTCCCAAAATCTCATAGAACCTTTCTTATAGCTAGAAAAGTACACAGAAATTATTCTATAAAAGTCTCTCAAAACGCCATCTCAACAGATTTTGTAGAGTTAGAAATGGTAGACTTTGATGTTATCCTTGGCATGGATCGGTTACATTCCTATTATGCCTCAATCGATTGTAGAACTAGGATTTTTTGTATTCAGTTTCCACACGAACAAATCTTAGAATGGAAGTTTAGTATCATAGCTCCAATGGTCAATTCATTTCTTACTTTAAGTCTAAAAAGATGATCTTTAAGGGTTATCTCTATCATCTAGTTCGGCTTAAAGATTGTAGCTCTGAAACCCCAACTCTTGAGTCAATTCTTGTAGTATATGAGTTTCTAGAGGTGTTTCAAGATGATCTTCCCAGAGTCCTTCCCGTAAGAGAAATTTACTTCAGAATTGATATCTTTCCAGATAACTTTTTATTGAATGAATCCAACAGAATTTAAGGAATTTAGGAGCATCTGAAAGACCTTCTACATAAGGGTCTCAGTATAACTAGTATTTCAATATGGGGTGCACTATTGTTGCTCGTAAAAAAGAAAAATTGTTCTCTAAGAATGTGCATTGACTATAGACTGTTGAACAAGGTCACGTTCAAGAATAAGCATTCCATCCCCAGGATTGATGATTTATTTGACCAACATCAGGGTGCTAGTAACTTGTCAAAGATATACCTCAGATCTGGTTATCATCACCTTAGAGTTAGAAATAGTGACATTCTCAAAATAGCCTTTAGAACACGGTATGGTCATTATGAATTTTTTGTTATGTCATTTGGACTAACCAATGCTTGAAAATTTCATGGATTTTCTGAAATGAGTGTTCAAATAGTACTTGGACTTGTTCGTCATCATATTTATTGATTACATCCTCATTTATTCTAGGAATGAAGAAAAACATGCGAGTCATTAGAATTGTTCTACAGACTCTCAAGGATCGCATGTTATTCACAAAGTTTAGCAAATGTCAGTTCGGGTTGTAATCCATTGCTTTTCTAGATCACATTATATCTAGCGAGAGGAATAGATTGGATTCACATAAGATAGTAGAAGTGAAACAATGGCCCAAATAAACCTTTCCTACAGATATCAGAAGTTTCTTTGATCTAGAAGGTTATTACAAAAGGTTCGTTGAAGGATTCTCATCCATAGCCTCACCATTGACTAGGTTAACTTAGAACATGGTCAAGTTTTAGTGCTTAGATTATTGTGAAAAAGCTTTGCAGAATTGAAAACTAGATTGACTACAGTTTGTGTCTTGACTCTATTAGAGGGTTCAAATAGTTATGTGATCTATTGTGATGCATCCAGAGTTGTCCTAGGTTGTGTGTTGATGCACCTAGATAATGTTATAACTTATGCCTCTAGACAACTTAAGATTCATGAGAAAAACTATAAAATCCTTGACCTTGAGCTTGAAGCAGTGGTGTTTGCACTCAAGATATGGAGACACTATTTTTATAATGTTCATGTATATGTGTTCACTTATCATAAGATCCTTCGGTATGTGTTCACCCATAAAGAGTTGAATCTTCGTCAGAGGAGATGGCTTAAGTTCCTTATGGATTATGATATAAGTGTGTATTAAAGTTCGGGTACGGAAAAATTAGTAGTAGATGCTCTTAGTATATAATCTATTGGTAGTGTAGCCTATGTTGAGAAAGAAAAAAAGGATCTAGTAAAGGATGCTCACAGGCTTGCTCCCTAAGGTGTTCGCCTTATGAGCATATCATTCAAAGGTGTAATAGTTAAGAATGGGGCAGAATCTTCTTTGGTAGTAGAGGATAATGAAAAACAATACAGTGATGACATCTTGCTTGATCTTACGGGTGCAGTCCACGATCAAAGAGTGGAGGTTTTTCCCAAGAGAGAGATGGTGTATTTCGCTACAAGGGTACATTGTCTGTTCCTGATGTGGGTGAGTTGAGAAAGCTATCCTTGTAGAAGCCCATGACTCTAGATATTTCTATAAATAAAGGTTCCACTAAGATATACCGCGATCTGCGCGAAGTCTATTGGTGGAATGGCATGAATAGGGGAGTAAGTGCCCCAATTGCCAACAAGTCAAGATAGAACATGAGAAAACAGGGGTATGACTCAAGAGATCGATATTCCTACTTAGAAGTGGGAAGTTATCAATATGGATTTCATCGCAGGGTTAGAACGTACTCGCAGACAACATTACTCCATTTGGGTGACAGTTTATATGATGATCTGGCTTTTTGATGGTCAAGACTATAGATTTGGCAGTGGACTATGCCAAGCTTTACATTAATTAAATTGTGAAGTTTCATGGGGTTCCTTTTTCAATAATCTAAAATAGAGGTCCTCAGTTACCTGTTATTTCTGGAAGTCATTTTAGAATGGTCTTGGTACTCAAGTTAACCTTAGCACAAAACTTCATCTATAGACGGATGGACAGGCAGAGCATACCATTTATACCCTTTAAGATTTGTTGAGAGCTCGTGTGATAGATTTTAAGGGTAGTTGGGATGATCACCACCCTATGATTGTGTTTTCCTACAGCACTAGCTACTATACCATCATTCATATGGCCCCTTACGAGGCTTTGTATGGGGGTAGATGTAGATCTCTTATAGTGTAGTTTGAAGTAGGTGAAGTAGCTTTGATAGGTCCATATTCAGTCCTTTATGATATGGAGAATGTTAAACTCATTATACAGAGACTTAATACAGCCCAAAGTCGTCTGAAATATTACGCAAGTGTAAGGAGAAGGGAACTAGAGGTCCGAGTTGATCGTTGGGTTTTCCTAAAAGTGACACCTATGAAAGGAGTGATGATATTTGGAAAGAAAGGAAAACTCATTCCTATATATGTAGGACCTCACAAGATCATGAAAAGGATTGGAAAGGTGGCAGATGAGTTAGAGTTGCCAGCAGACTTAGCAGCAATGCATCCAATATTCTACATCTCGCTCTTGATGAAGTATGTGGGTGATCTAGCTTCTGTGGTGCCATCAGATATTGTGGCAGTTAACCATAGTCTTTCTTATGAGAATATGCAATTTGAGATTCTTGATCGTCAAGTTAGGTGGTTGACAACAAAGAATTCGCTTCAGTCAAGATTACTTGGGAAGCAGAAGCAGCCATGAAGCCAAGTATTCTCACCTCTTTCCTTCCGATTCTACTCCAGCTTGTGGTAATATTTCCTCTTCAGTTTTTATGTCATTAGTGCATGAATTTAGTATTAGAATCATGTTCCCTCAGTTTGTACTTGCATTTTTCGCATATTTGCATTTTCTCCAAACTCATATATAGTCAGAAACTCAGTTCTCATGGTTTAGTAATGAGGATTGCATATCTCTCCCTCTATTTAAGCTATTTCAGTCTTCATTCGATGACGAATGTTCCCAATGGTTATATAATGTAACATCCATTATCTAAAACAAACAAGAAATCATCTTTTTTAGAAATCTGCAGGTGCAACCAACGGTTACCATCATTGAATCACAGTCTGATCTAAGACCCATACTGTGCATCCGTCATTTGAATCTGAAGCCCCAAAAAATCATAGGCTAAAAAATTTGACTAATTGAAGAACGACGGATGTACCTACAGTCGTAGTCTGAGTCCGTCGATCAAGACACCATTTCCCCAGTCTTTGATAAGAACCCCGATTAACCAGTACGGTCCATATATAGAATTACGTATCGTAGGCATGACCATATGTTAAAATTAGTAGACAGTTAGGGGGGGAAATGTAGTTGGATCAAAATCAATTGATCATAACTTTTAGCACAAAACAAATTAGGGTCCAATGTCCTATGAAATGATTGATAATTGAATTAGTTTCCCATAGCCACCGTGTTTGCTAAAATCAGACCTCCGAGTAAAATCAAATACAGTTTTAGTAGAGTCGTGTCGAAAAAACCCAACCTATAGACCCAAACTAGAGAACGTCGATTGAACGATGTCCCATAAGTTCAGGTTATCATTTGGTACAACAACAATTAACTCAGGGGTATTTTAGTCTTTTCTTACTTCATTTAAACCCTAAGATACATCGTTTTGACCATAAATCATTAGATTTTACTCAGTTTAATGCTATAAACATAACTAAAACTTACCATAGTCAAAATCATAAATCAAAACATTGAAAATTAGAAGCATGAAAGGAAAAAAAGGTCAAGAACCCTAGTTCAAGAACGCAACAAGGTTCCAGCAGTTCCAGTCTCAAAAACTAAATATTTGTCAATGAATTTCATCACCAGGCATGTGGAATTTTACTTTTAGGTACCTTTCCCCCCATTAGGTCACTATTTGTTAGTCAAATCTTGATACCCATATCATGGTTACGCCTAGGGTTTTTAGAACTTCAACAGAACTTCATGGTTAGATCTCACCATCCCGGTCACGCTTAGATCGATCCCGATCTCCGTTTAAGCAGATTCAATGGTGATTCCTGATTATCCAAGGACAATAGTGATTAGTTTCTTTTTAGTATTTAGTCCTTTAGTTTCATTTTATCCTAGACTTAGTTGGGTCCTTTCCAATCATTTGTAGTTAGTTTAGAGTCTATTTGTATACATATATAGTTTCAACTTAGTATTGAGTTAGTATTTTCTTTGTATTAAACTCATCAGTATTCATGTATATCAATTTTAGCATATGGGTATTCCCCATATTTTCATTTGAAACATGATTTAGCTTCTACATCAGTTTACTATCTATAGTATGCACATGATCATGCCAGCAGGCTTAGCTTTGGATAACTTGTGGTCCTAGATCCCATGTGTGCGTCTCAGGGATAGCTTGGGGTGTTGTAGTAACCTTCATGACTCACCTCGCTTACTAAAATTCTTCAACATCTCAACAAAATAAATAAATTTATATGGTATCAACCAATTTTGCCGAGTAATTTGAATTTTTCACTATTTGGGAAACAATATAGACTTGCTGGAGAGGAAGAAAATTTGAATTATGCAAATCAAAATAAATGTTATGTTTAGTTTCCTTATTAAATGCAACTGCCAACTATCGCGATGTATCACACCTAATGTATTGTAACAAAACTTATGTATGTGGATGACTTTTGTTTTGTGAAATTTTTGTAAAATATAAAAAAGTAGGGATACGACCACCTCCTCCCGGTGACGTGATGTCACCACAAGCCAGAATTCTCTTTAAAAAATTTATTACCACAAATAGTCTTCCCGTACATTCTGTCGTATACTTTTCACCTTCACTAGTTGTAACTATTCCTTCCTGCGCATACCCTCCCATTACTTCTAACAATTGTTTTAGTTCTCCCATGTTGCCTTCAACACATTTATCACTACTCCCAACAACTAACAAATTTTCGCATTCCAAGCATTGTGCTCTTAACCTACACTTTTTAAATAAAGACTTACATTGTTTATTTACAATCTCAACCTCACACCATGCACCTTAATCCCCAATTACCAGTTAAAGGTGAATTAGGGCTTCCTCTCACTCACCAACCTAACAGTTTCTGCAAACAGTCAATAAACTATGCAAAAATTGCCCTATTTACCCGATCTATATTTGCTCATAAATAACACCACCCATTTGCATCAGAACACAAAACGGAAATGGTGTCAACAAATGCCTTATGATTTACTTTTACACATCGTACATCTTCTGGAAAAGTTCCGTACCATTTCGTACATCAAATTCTCAATTTTTGTGCCTCGTTGTTTAAGATGTGCAACACGACGCGTTATCATGACTTCATGGCCTAATGGATTTTCTTACCCTAAACATAAAGCCATTTTACACGCCACTTGAAATTCCTCCAGACTCTCCAGGTGTTTCACTTTATCAATCTATACTATTGGTATCGAGCATTTTGGTTTCTTTTTTTGAAGACATACACATACCCCACTTAAATTCCTACTAAATATCCCAATTTCTTCATAATCTCACGATTTCTACTTTTCCTTCCCTTAAACGCATGTTCCACCAACGGTTATAGAAGACATGTTACAAATGAACTTAATTCTAGAACAATAAAATCAATAATGGGTATATATCTCTACCGTATATAATAACCTTCAAGAACAAACCACGTTTTGTATTACTAATTTTAATATCGTTTATAATTACCCTTCAACGAAATCTCACCTTTTGAATTTTTGACCCAATTATAGTCGATACACATGGAGATTAAGATGATGATTAGGATAAGAATGGAGAGTCGTGTAAAAAATAGAATTCACCAATCTGGGCATCTATTTGAGGAACGAGATTCATGAAATAAAAGAATTTACCAAGGATCCTCCACTGACCAGCCAAATTCACTAAGGATCATCCATGTAACCTGCATTCCAACTTGCATACACTTTTCTTTTCTATTTTACCATGAAACAAACTCATTACTATTTACTTTGACCTCTACTATCTTCTTATTGATCGTTCAATATGTGTTGTTAACATGAATAAAAAATGTCATATCACTACTCTTACATGATACTATTTCCTTTCTAAATAAGTCTTGCTCTTTCCAATTCAATAGTTTTCCTTCTGAAGCTTTTATAAAACACTCTCACTTTTTTATCTTCCACCCCTCCAAATAAGTTTTCAACTTCTTCGTCCCAACATACCTTTAACAATATTGTTTTTCCTTTTGGTTGCTTTCCTTGATTGTTACTTTTGCTATCTCTTGCTTCCCTTCATACAAACTACCGCAACAACAAACAACTCAAAACTCATACTTTTAATTAACATTCGAAGCCATTATTGTTGTTGTGAAACAATAGGGCTGAAGGCTTTGAACATTCTGAATATCTTGTTAAAGTAAAACAACATGTACTCCATGGTGTTGCATTATGTTTAGCTTTGTTTAATGTAATTCCTCTATTAAACAAACTTTAATACATGTATTTATACATGTACAATTAAATTCAAAGGTTCTATACTTCCTTAGAAGATGAGTGTGATGTTGCCTTGAATCCATACGCACTATCTAATTCTCCTACTTTATCAAACTTTACAAGGAATCTAAAATTATAATAAACACAGAGATTATCCTGGACACATGAAAATGATGGTTAAAATTGTATTTTGTACCCCTTCGATGCTTTGTTTAATACACAAAAAAAATTACAGAGTTGCACAATTGACGCTTCAATTTTAAAAACTTCCTTTGTTTGTATGTGTGGATGCTTGTAACACTATATATACTTGGAATACATTCATGTCTTTCCTGTTTTTGCATTATGTATATTCCAATTCCTCTCTAAACCCAAATTATGGATCAATGTAATTAATTACTCAAAATTTCCCCTACCGCCTTAGAAGTTGTGTGTTATGCCTAGATGTGTCAAAATGGACTGGCCTAACCCAACCCAGACCAACCATAACGTGCTATAGAGTTAAATGTGTTGGGGCTGGCTTGCCCATTTTAATAAAGGTCCAATAAAATAGTAGCCCAACCCAGCCTAAGAGGGCCACGGGTTGGGACTGGTTGGCCCTTCAACTAAAAAATAAACAATATTACTCTCTTTGGAAGAGTATCGAATGATGATGTCTATGAAGACGACATCAATTCATACAAAAACTGCTTTGTCAATCACACACTTCATTGAATACTTACAAAAATGCAGTAATGAATCACACACATAAATGAATAGTTACAAAAATACATAATTGCCAACGTAAGATTTAGCGGATAATTGTTGATCATTCCATAATTTCTTCGACAAAAAACAAGCTGGGTTAAAAGATCTCAAGCAACACAAGACAATCTAAATCCTTAACAAATCTAAATTTCTAAATATTATGTGACTCATTAATTATGTTTTACAACTGCGCTTATACATTCACCATCAATCACATTTCTAACAACATGTGATATTATTTCCTCAAGAAATTCATCTTCATTTACAATTAACTATGTAAGTTGATATTGCAAGACTTGATTTTTTATTTTTCGAAATAGTTATTCATAAAATCTTTACAAATAAAAAACTATTAAAAATAAATATAAAAATATTTTAAAAAATTAATAGCCCACAGGCTGGCCTCAGAGGTTTGCAGGTTGGGCCTACGAGGCCAACGGGCCAAATTGGGTAATCTAAAAAGTCTCATTTATAATATGGCAAAAAATTTACGCCCAACCCCACTTATTTCA